CTGCTGCCCGGCGTTTGCACGGAGCTTGGAGTGACGCTGCTGTGCTGTCACTTTTTCAGATGATGAGCTGAGCCTGCTGGTCATCGTCATCGACACCAACCCTATCTGGTGGGGGAAGAAGGCGCTAGGAGAAGCTGAGGTGCGTCTTCTGGGCGTTGATACGAGTGAGGGTGCTTGCTGAGGGAAACGAGTTATTTTTTTTTAAAGAGTTCATAAGTAGCCAACAAATGGCATTAGCCTTTGATTTTTGAACTATGCTAACGTTGCCTGCTTAAAACGGATATAATGGATATTGGAATACTCTTAAAGCCAGCTACCCAGCGTTGTGTATTTGTCAAAGCTTTTTTTTCCTAAATGCTTGCTATTAAGAAAGGAAGCTCCTTCTGTGTCTTCCAATTCAAGTTCTAACTGCAAGCGTTTGAGAGATTTCTTCAAAATTACTTAACTTTAAATGTTATTGTGCTATATTTACTTTCTTCTTTTTTTCAGCAGTTCACCCTATCGAAATGCATTGATGCCGCGATGGTACTGGGAAATTCGCACTTATTTATGAATCGCACCAACAGACTTGCTGTAATAGCAAGTCACACGCAAGAAAGGTATAGCCGCTTCTTAGCGGTGTAAGGGTTTAAAGCGTACTTTCCTCTGTCTCCTGATTTTCTTGTTGAAGTATATAATTGAAACCAGGTTTAAAATGCATAACATATCATTGTCTTAAAAACAGAAATTAACTAAAACTGTGTAGGAAAGAAATAGTCCGACTTGGTGCCTTACACAAAGCAATAAAAAGGCTTATAAGACAGAAGGGAGGTTTAAACAGAATTTTACTTAAAAATATATGGAGAGAGGGAGAGAGAAGATGGTAGAGATGTGGTGAGCAGGACAATGCAAGTGGCAGAAATTTCCTGTTTAGTGGATATTTTCCCCCAGATACTTGTGAGTCTCAGGACCTATCCCTAAGTGCAGGCATGGTATCTATTTGCCGTTTCCCTTAAGGGGTGTCCTGAAAGGGGGGAGGTGAATGTGGGGTTTACTCCATTTGGGGCTTGAAGACTGCCTGCCTTATGTAGTCTCTTTAATGTCTAAAGTATTAAAATGATTTGAAATTATACTTCAGACTATTGCTGTCTATGGCTGATTAGGCATTTTTTTCTTACAAAGATAAAGACAAAACACAAATACTTTGTTTTTTCTGTTTCAGCCGTTTCTTGTACCCTGGGAAGCGTTGGGCTTTCGCAGATCTCTTTGGAGATGGCGGTAGTTCCATGGAATCTAATTGCTCTGGCAGCAAGGATGGAAAATACGAATTGTTAACAGCAATAAATGATGCGATTGCAGAAGAGATTAAAGATCTCATGACAAAAAGTAAGGAAAAGAACATTCTAGGCTTAATGTGCAGAACTGCAAAATACTTGGACTCTCAAGGAGTTGTAGCAATTCCCTTTATTTTGATCATGTGACTTTTAATATGTTTAAAGTAGATGAGTTTATTATGCTTGACATTTCAGGCCTCTGAAAATCAATTTGCCAAAGATAAAATTTGTTGTGTTTGGTATGGTCAGGTTCAGCAACTGTTTTTATACATAAAAGTAACTTTTGCAACTTTTCTTGTATTGTAGCTGACATGAGGGGCCAGCAAACAGAAACTCTGTTAGCAGGATCGCTTGCTAAAGCACTTTGTTGTATCCTTTTGATCACAGAATCATCAAAGTCTTTATGTATTTTCAAGACCGTTTCTTATAGTGTTAATTAAGTTTTACTACTCCTGTTCTGTAATAATACTCAAAACTGAAACATTTGCCTCATAACTGTGGGTCATGCTTATTGTAATGTGTGTGGGCTGAGGTGGTGAATATGTGGAATGGATTCAGGAGTTCTTTCCAAGAACAGGATGTAGATTCCTTAACGTCAGCTAATGTAGATATCAACAAGATGAGCAAAGAGGTAAAAGGTAATGCCCCTGCTCCTGTTTGGAGTGCTTGCATAAATATTTGAATCAGAATAGCAGATACAAATGCATGTGTACATCCAAACAAAAACATATATGTTTTGATGCGCCCCCATTTCCAAAACTGGCAATAATTGGTACAGGTTTATCCCAATTACTTGAAGTTGTCCATTTTAAATTAGGTCTGGGTGACGATTAGAAGTAAAGGACTTGATCATTAGGCCATATTCTTATTCTGATTTTCTGTTACATGCGAGTAAAATGAATAAAACTGTAACTGAAATCTCTTTAGAACACGTGGAGGTTGAGGGGAACTTTTTGAAAGTCATGTGATGCACAAATCCTCTTCCAAAGGGACCACCTGCAGAGCTGGGATGAGAGTTGGATTTCTTACTTGGTTTTGTATTTCCTCTTGTGGCTTCTATAATCAGGAAAAGTATTATTTGTGCAAATAGTTTTGCAAGCAGCATATTGGACTAGAATCAGCTGTACATTTCAGATTACTTTAATTAACGAAAAATACCACGTAACTTGAGATACGTGTTTCAACCAGTGAGTTGATAATGAACAGCTTTGAATATTTCTTTCCTGATCAACATCTAACTGCTTTTGGACAATAAATGAATGGGTCTGCTTTCACAACCAGTCTGAATTAGTCCACAGATGCTTGTCACTGGGTCTGTAAAACAGTTTCATATATGTATTTTAACTGTGATATTAGAGCTAACATCTTGGAAGTTAGGTAACTGTGATGTTAGATGCTACAGAATTAAAAGGGCAAACTACAGGTGACAGAAACAATGTGCTCATGCATTTTTTTTTCTTTTTAATACTTAGTCAATCAAGAAATGAAATCAAGGATTTTGGTAAGAACTTCTGCTGTCAGTTTTCTTTGAGTCTTGAAATCCAGTGATACTATGTAGGCTAACAAGTTTGAATTGTTTTATTTAGGTCATAAAAGCAGCAGAAGACAGTGCGTTGCAATATATGAATTTCATGAATGTGATCTTTGCAGCACAGAAACAGGTGAAGGTGGCATTTTTTCATATATATTATTTTTTTATTATGTGCAAAGATAACAAAATTGTTCATTTCTCCTATGATTATGTTCTGATCAAGTAAAAGAGCTTCCCTATGGCTGTGGTGGTCCTGCAGCTGTAAAAACACGTGTGTTTATACATGGAGTGCATTTATAGCAGAAACAGGTCATGACAGTAACACTGATGAGGCTACATTGGTCCTGGCTGAATTTGTTTTTCATGCGTTTCATCTCTTTTCTTGCAGAGTATTTTGATTGATGCCTGTGTCTTGGACTCTGATTCAGGTCTTCTACAACAGGTACAGACTTCCTATTCTTATTTGCTTATTTACATTTATTTGTAGATACTCGATGCTAGGTAGTTTGACATATTCTAAAGCTCTCTTATTTCCTTTGTTTCAAGGGTGGGTGTGGAAATATGTTCAGTGGATCTGACAGTTCCAACATGCAGGCCCTGTGCAGTATGTGGATATTTTAAATATCCTGTTTATCTCATAAAACATAACAATCTGATCATGTTCTCTGCTTTCCAGGCTTGTGACATTACGGGTGGCATCTATTTGAAAGTGCCTCACATGCCATCTCTTCTGCAGTATTTGTTGGTAAGTCATTTAAAAAACACTTCAGTGTTTTCCTGTGCCAGATGTGAAATCTTACTGACCTCACTGACAAGCTAATACAGCAGTACCATTCCAATGTGCAAAATATGTTTTCTCTACTCATGCAGTGGGTATTTCTCCCTGATCAAGAGCAAAGAGCACAGCTTGTCCTTCCACCTCCTATTCATGTTGACTACAGAGCTGCATGCTTCTGTCATCGAAATCTTATAGAAATTGGTTATGTGTGCTCTGTGTGCTTGTCAAGTAAGTTTATAAATATTTAAGAGTCTGATTTCTTACATTCAAATGAACTGTTTTAGTGAAAGCCAATTCTTTTATTTTCCAGTATTCTGCAACTTCAGTCCTATTTGTAGTACATGCGAGTAAGTGTTTCTTCTTGTTTCAGGGGTGGGTGTGGAAATATGTTCAGTGTATCTGACAGTTCCTTTTTTATGTTGTTTCAGGACTGCTTTCAAAATATCATTGCCACCTGTCATGAAAGCCAAGAAGAAGAAATTAAAGTTAGCCGTGTAACAACATTATGTAAAAACATCATTACCTCGTCCAGTAATTCCATGAAATGGAATATACGTGAGAAATTGATGGCACTTTTTATTGGATATGAAAGAGAACTGTATGCAGTGTTAATACTCTTTTCTTAAGGGATAAATATTTAAATCGTGTATTTTCTACACAGCCCTTTAAGTAACAAATCACTGTATTACCATCTAACCTGTGCTATTTTAAATACTAATTCTTAATTCCAGAAGTTACAGCCTGTTAAGGGACAGACCTTGTGAAGTAGAAGGTCTTCTGGCTGCTGCAAAGTTTCACACCTCCAAGTTATTTTCAAAGACAAGCAAGCTCTGATTCTTTTTGTGTGTTGGTGTAAAGGTAAGAATGGCCATTTCTGGCGTGTAGAATCAGAACCTTAGCACTATGTTATTCAGGGACTTCAACTTCTTGCTAGCTTTTGCTAGCAATTTTTTGTACTGAAACAGCATCAATTTCAAAATAAATGAGCCAACGTTTTCAAGATGGCTTAGAACCTTTTTTTTTTTTTAAATGCTAATTCCGCTGCATGTGCACTTATGTGTATTCATAGTCCTTTGTACTGTCTTTGTGGTATTTCTTTCTCAGTTGGATATATATTCATTTATCTGTAAAAAGGCCCCCCCTTTGTTTAAAATAATTTCAGTAAATGCAAAATAGCTGGTTAGTCTCTAAGGTTGTATTTTGAAACTGGAAAACAAAAAATATAATTCTGTGTAATAGACAGTAGGCACAGGTTGGTTATTTTTTCCGCATGTGGTTTTATGTCTGGCGTTTGACAAGTAAGAAGGAAGACTTTTGGATTGGTGGTTTTTATGTCTGAACATGAGGGTATGCTGCATACTTCTGAATTTGGCTTTGGTTTAAACAAACAAAAAATTTCCCACTTTTAAAGGGTAACTATATAATTTGGTGATTTTACATGTTGCTAGTAACTGATTTTGTCCTGAAAGGAATACAGAGAGTAATTGTTTCCTACATAGAAAAGGACTTTTTTTTTTTTTTTTTTTCCCCCCCCCCAAGGTGTATACAGGAATTTGTTGTCTTGATGCTTGCATCGGTTTTTTTTTGTCCACGTAACAGTCGTAGTAAGTGCCAGTCTTTCACGGGCTTGTTTGATTGCCAAAAGCCATGTTGTTTGAAGACTGTATTTATAATGTACTTTGTATAAAACGTTTGTAATAAAACCTCTTTCAGATGTGGTTAGATATTGCTATAATAACGGATATTTTTAAGCTACATGCCCTTCTTGCGGTTGTCTTGTGTAAAAGTGCAACAGTTTGATGGCCCTACCTGAAGCGGAGGGTGCGGTCTGTCTGGAGCTCGGTGGCAAGATGAGGGGCAGCCTTCTCTGAGCTGGCTGGGTTGATCCGCTTTCGCCCTTGCGATCGCTGCCGTCCGGAGGGGGCCGTGAGGC